TACAGATGGGCTTTGGCTCTCCACTCTGACCCCCATCATTTGTATTGATATATTTGTTTGTTTTGGGTCTTCTGATGCTTGATACTTGATCTCGACGACACCTTGTGATCACAGAGGCTGGTGTGTGTCTTCCATGCCAGACAAAACATGTTTAAACATGTCTCTGTGATCCGTGGCTGGGTGCAGACACTTGTCTAAGTCTTATTAGGGTGATTTATAAAACAGGCTTTTGTTGTTGTGCTGTCCGGACTGTTCCCGCAGAAGCAAACACCGCCTGCTCCCGAGCCACCATCACTGTTGTTTCTCGGGTTTGGCCCCGATTGCAACCATTATGCCAGTTCACCTTGTCGCGGGGCCTCCTCTGTTTCACTGCCCTTCTACCCAACGGGTTACTTAACAACAAAAGAGGGGTTGGATGAAGATCAGCTCGCTTATAACGCTCTCAAGCAGGATCAGAGCTCATCAGTAAGGTTTTGTGGATGAATCTTGGATTTGCTAATATGCTCCAGAGAGCAAAGTCCAATCAGTCAGTGACTTCCATAGGTGTCTGCTGGGACAGGGAGGCTGAAGGCAGAGAGGTCAACTGCTTTTGGACTCCAAAAGGGTAATATTGATATGTTTTCTCAAAAGGCACAGGTTACCATGGGAGTTTTATAGGAAGACGTTTAAAATATATAGATATATTTAAAGTGGGATATACGTCACATATCATACAATTTACTGTATATACTCGAGTATAAGTCGACCCGAAGAACCGCCGAGGCACCTAATTTTACCACAAAAACTGCATTAAAAATATGCTGAAAAAAACTCGGTTTATACTTGAGCATACATGGTAATACCTTGTTTGCATTAAGAAGATTTGTGCAATCATCACCACAGTCCATTTCAGAACATTTCCCCATATTCCTTGTCTGCTCCTGCCACGCCCTTCACAATCCAGTTACTGTCCCTATCGATCTACTTATTGGGGCTTCGTATACAGAAACGCACATGATACGAACAGGAAGCAAATCGACAAAAACTCAACGATGATGATGAGACAAAACACAGAAAAACCTCATTCAAAAGGAAGCCATAAAATCTTAAAAACTGAAACAACGTTAAAATGGGTCAAAGGGGAAATCCAATGATAAGGTATTGAATTTGAACCTAACTACATCTGCCATAAGTGACCTTACAATGCTCTCTGTCTGATAGCAAAGCTATTCAAGCAAAGGAGAACGGCGCTGGTGTGAAAAAGGCCCAGAGATTTGCTGAGGAATTTCTATTTTTTTACATCGAGCCAATGGGCTTGTTTTTAGATGGTAGCTAAGGTTGTTCTAAGAGCATTTCATTGGGAAACTTCCCCTTCCTCCCTGTAGAGCCTTGATCTACCCCCTTTAGGTTCTTTCTGTTACCCATGATTTGAGCCTCTCAAGAATGCCACTTGACATGGTCTGAATGCAGGGTTCTCTGGGGAAGGGTCAAAGGGGTGGAACTACCACCTGCAGAATTGTTTAGACCTCAATGTAGGCAACGGTGTCAAATAACCCCATACGCCGATCTTTCTGTTTTATACAGGCTTCTATGATCTTGTAGCAATGCTCTTGCCTTCTTTGCATGACACTTTCATTATTTCTATGCATATTGCTATTCACAGTTGTGGTCATCACCTAATCTGGTGTCAATTTAAGGATTAAGAGTATAGGGGTGGAGTCTAGGCTGTCAATCTGGAGATAGCCAATGAGACTTCTGTGTGGGCATGGCCTTCTCCTGAGAATTCTGGGAAATCTGGTACCTCCTCCTTGGAGGCAGAAGACACTTCTCTCTCTCTGCCACTCCCTGGGAGACACTGCAGAAGACAAGCCACATGGACGCAACCAGACCTCGGAAGCCAGAGAAGCCACAGAGAGACCCCTGCCAGCACTGATGCTTACAACACCACTGGACCCAAAGACTTTCTACCCACTGGCCTGTGATCGTCCTGCATTTGGCTTCATTGCCTGTGTTCCGTGAGTCTGAAGAGGCCTTTATAGATTGGTATCGGACACATGGGCTAATATCAGACTTATGGCCTTGGACTGGACTGGGTTGGGATGTTTTCTCAATGTTCAATTCCTATTGTATATAAACCTCTTCCTTCTATACATATGCGTGTTTATGAATTTGTTTCTCTAGTCTCCCCAGACTAACACAACAGTTCACATAGATGATTTATTTCTAATTGAGTACCGATAAAGTAGGAACCCTGGCAGTGTAGTCGTTTGTTATATACTGGGTGGCGATCGGCAGGGTCGGCAGTTTGAAACCACCACCAGCTCTGAGAGAGAGAGAGATGGAGCTTTCTACTCCGGTAAACAGTTATGGTCTTGGAAAGTCTCAGGGGCAGTTCTACCATGACCTAAGGTGTCACTCTGAGTCAGCCTCAACATCATGGCAGTGAGTGATGATTGATAAAGTATTTAAAAACAAACAGACAGACAGACAGAGAGACAAACCCACTGCCATCGAGCCAATTCCAACTCATAGCAATCCCATGCGGGCCCTCAAGGCCTGTAAATCTTTCAGGGAGCCGACAGCCGCATCTGTTTCCCTGGGAGCAACTGGTGGGTTTGAACAACCTTGTGGTCAGCACCCCAGCGCTTAACCCACTGCTCCTTAGTATAGAAAATACCCAAGTAAATTCTTATGGATGGACACAAGATTTTTAATAACATTTTGCATTTATAGGTCATTTTTCCTTTGGGACTCTCAACAGGGAATACCGAGGCACAGACAAATATTCACAGAACACAATATAATAAAAGTAGGGGCTGAAGTAGGCTTCTGGTTGCCTTTCCAGTGCCCTAGTCCTTTTCAGTATGCTCCTTTTTATACTGCTACTTCGAAGTAGGGCAGGTCTTTTTTGGTGGCTGTGGATCTGCTGGCAGGCTGTGGGCCCACCATCGGTGGGTAGAGGCAGGCAGAGGGAATGCCACATTGCATTAGCTCAGTCCTGGGAAGAAACAGATTCCTTAGGGATTCGGGTTTTAATGATATGTTTTTGTCGGGCTATGAGGGAAAAGAACATACCTGCATCTTTTCTAAGAATCTAATGATCATCAGGACCACCTTCGGAAGAGCCCTGTGGGACAAGCATTGTTCTACCTTTCAGTTCAAACCTACCAGTCACTTCCACGGGAGAAAGATGAGGCTGGCTGCGCTGGATAAAGACGCACAGTCTCAGAAACTCTGAGGAGCCCTTCTTTGCCCTATCGGGTCGCTGTCAGTGTGGATCGTCCCAATGGCAATGGATCCAGTAAGCACTTTTTGTTTCCTGGACCCTGCGCTCCATAGAAGGTCGTTAGAACGACCTCTAATGACTGCAGTGGTATAAAAGTCAATCTCATGCAAGGTAGATGATAGTCATTTGATTTTTCTGATTTAAAAAGTTTAAACCATTTTTATGAGTCTCTACAAGGGTCCCAGACCCTAGCCACTGTGTCTGTACTGCCTACTAAGAGAGTCCGCTGTACAGCCAAACGGGTAGAAAGAGAAGCTGGGAGTCTTCTCGTTCATCCTACGCTCATGGGAGGACTCCTTTGTGACTCCTGGTGACCCCACTGGTGTCAGAGTGGAACTCGGCGCCCTGGAATGTTCAGGGCTGGATCTTTCAAAAGTTCACTGCTAGGCTTTTCTTCCACGGCATGACTGGGTGAACGTAAATGTTCAACGCTTTGGTGAGCGGCCAGTTGTGTCAACCACTTGCACTACCCAGGCGCCTCTGTGGTTCAGCACTGACTTGATGGCAGAGTCTGGAGTTTTGGTGGGGCAGTCCATTAGTTATCTCATTTAGTGAATGTATCTTTTTACTTATTTAGGGCAATATTTTCCTCTCTTCCACCAACATTTTTAAGCACTCCTCCCCTACCCCACCTTAGTTTCTCAGCTCCCCTCGGGCTATTTTTAGAAGTAGGAAGCACAGGTGATAAATCAATAGGAACAAATTCGTGGCTATTCCCCTCATTTTGTTGGGTGTGTGTGTGTGGGGGGGGACGTGTAATTAAAATTCAAGGTAGAAAGAATTTCTAAGTGGTAAATCGTCTTTCTATGATGTTACCATGTTTCATTTTAGGATACACTTTCAGCAACGATTCTGCATTATAAATGTGTTCCAGCTCATTGGTGTAACTGAATAATTTACTGTCTTGGAGAAGTCTTGTTGGAGGAATATTATTAGTTCTTTTGCTTGGACTAATTGTTTGGAGGAAGTAGCCTCCTCATTATGTGGGAAAGAGACAGAGAGAGAAAGAGAGGAAATATTTTATATGTCATGAATCCAGTCGATTTACAATGAGAATAATGTCACAATTATAGTAGCTTCTCATTTCCTAACTTAGAAAATGTAGGTGCCATATCTGATAAATAAGATTTATCCCTCACTGGGCTCTCCATTTTTTTTCAATCTTTTCAAGGCATGAGGGCAGAGAAGCTTTTCCAAAAGATTACGACATAGAGGGTCCTGAGCCTGTAAAAAAATTGTGTAATTCAACGTACCAGCGGTTTGGAACTGATGAACCTCCAGTAAGTAGTGGCTGCTAACTTCTTTATTTTAAGTCAGGCATTATCATGGGAAAGTAAAGGGAAGGAGCACTTTGTCACTGCCCCCACAATCAGCTATGCTAGTTACTTACACAGGTGACCTAGCTGCTGTGTCCTTCAGTGATCTTACCTGTAAAATATGCCCACTTCTTATTATCCATGTGAAAATCAGAGGAGGGAAGGTGAGGGAGTAAGGGAGAACAGATTACAAGGATCTACATATAATCTCCTCTCTGGGGCACAAACAGCAGAGAAGCAGGTGAAGGGAGATGTTGGATGGTATAAGATATGACAAAATAATAATTTATAAATTATCAAGGGTTCATGGGGGAGGGGGGAGTATGGAGGGAGGGGGAAAATGAGGAGCTGATACTAAGGGCTCAAGTAGAAAGCAAATGTTTTGAGAATGATGAGGAAAACAAATGTACAAATGTGCTTGGCACAATGGATGGATGTATGGATTGTGATAAGAGTAGTATGAGCCCCCAATAAAGTGATTTTTTACAAAAGGTTGTAAATATAAAGTGCCTGGCACAGAGTAAACCCAAAGCAAATCCACTGCCACTGGGTCTACTCTGACACAGCGAGCCTGGAGGACAAGCTAGAACTTCCCACCCCTGTGAGTTACTGAGACTCTGCACAGGAGTAGACAGCCTCATCTTTCTCCCGCAGAGTTGCAGGTGGTTTTGAAATGCTGACCTTGTGGTTAGCAGCCCAATGCATAACCACTTCACCACCAGGGCTTCTTGATCTATAGCAAGGGCTCAAGAAATTACAATGGTTGTGATGCTGCTGTCGCTGCTGCCCCCACATATTGCTTGGCTTTTCTTCACAGTTACCTTGTACCTTTGCTGTTATAATTGCCATTGAGTTGACTCCGACTGATGGTGACTCCCTGTGTGCAGAGTAGAAGGTTGTGACCTTGTCGGACGCAGATTGCCTGGCCTTTCTTCGAAGGCCCCTGGGGGTGGTGGTGTTTGAACTACCAACCTCTGATTAGTAGTCAAGTGCTTAACTGTTTGCTCCACTCAGGGACTCTTCTCTACAGAGTATGTGTTATGGTCTCTCTTTTATTGCCGAAGAAACTCTTAGAGTGTAAGTGCTGCTCTGTGTCCCATAGATCTCTACTGTTTTACTGCTCTCTCCCTCCACCAGATCAAAACCAAACTCATTGCCAAGTCCATGCCAACTCATAGGGAGCCTATAGGGCCGAGTAGAATGGTCTCTGTGTTTCTGAGACTGTACCTATTTATGGGAGTAGAAAGCCTCATCTTTTTCTTGAGTAGAGGCTAGTGGTTTCCAACTGCCAACCTTGAGCCCAATGAGTAACCACTACACCACCAGGATTTTCTTCTAGGTACTATCCTTCATTGCGATGGTCACACATAACTCGCAGACAGTGCTCATGAGTATGGGTTTAATTAGGGTAGTTAACAGGTTCATGTGCACAATTCAGGAGAGAAATGCTCAGCATCCAGTTGTTCAGTCAGGTCGTATCCCAAAAAGCTCATTTAGGGTTGCTAATACCCGCCCAAAGGTCAGGACATGCTGCTCTGCCGTAAGCCTCAAACCTAAGGCATCCAGCTCCAGCTCCAGTTCCCCCAGTCAGCGAACCTAGCTCCTTGAATGGAACGTGAACGCCACAAGCCAGCCGTCTTGCCCCAAAGCACTCAGCTTTACTGGGAAGTCTACCGCTGTCTCTTGCTTTGGCTCCTGGTTCTGGTGCTGCTGCTCCTATGCCACTCCCCTGGTGTCAAAGGTGTCTCCTGGATCCAGGAGGTTCATGTCACAGGGACCCAGGGATCCAGAGGATGTGCTCCACTTTTGCCTCTTGGCTGAAGCAGGGTTGGGTAGTGAGATTCCCCCTCCTGCTTCTGAGATGGCCCATTCTATGCCCAGAAGGATGGCAATTCCAATGAATCTTGTTAACAAGCACTCACAAGGGGATCCTATCAGGATCTTCTTCCACCTTTTCTTATCCGGCCCCATCAGGAAAAGGTTGTCTGGTGAGTTTTACAGAGACTATGGATAGATGAACCATATAGATAATTCACTACATTGCAAGTGTGTTACTTAAAGTCTTACAGCTCGGGAGTGGAAAGTTGAGTATGAACCCAGGTCTTTGATTTTAAATCCCTTGTGCTTTTCTTAAGGTAGTGAGTGGCATTTGTGTAAGAGGATTAAAAAGAAGAATATTCATTACATAAGTGATTTCTGTTTGCATTAGTATGAATGGGTTACTGCTTGATTACTTGAGTGTCTGCTTAATCAACTCCTCCAAGATTCTTACGTTGTATCCTAAGATGTCAAGAGCTTTGGGACTAGCCAAGGGCTCAGTTCAACCTTTGAGGATGGCATCGAGATCTTAAGAGCTAGTGATCTGGGCCTGGTTGATACTGGATGCAGCAGGAAAGTGGGTGATCCCCCTCCCTTTTGTACAGGGTGTGACAGAGGCCAGAAGAGTAGGACACTTTCTTTCTTTAATGTTTTATTGTGAATTGGGTGATGGCTCACAGAACAAGTCAGTTTTCCCTTCAACAATTCACACACCGTTTCTTTCAGGCATTGCTTGTAGCCTCCACAATGTAACATCCCATCCCAATTCTTCCCTGTGTTTTCCACTTCTTCTTTTTAAAAAAAAATACTTTTATTGGGGGCTCTTACATTTCTTATCACACTCCGTACATTCCTCCAATGTGTTTTCCACTTCTATTCAGCCCCTTTCCTAAAGCTGCTTGTCTTCTGAATTTTGTTCTTGAACAATGCTGTCCTTTTGATCTTGAATGATTTATTGTTCTAAGGAATGTGTACCTCCTTCGTGTTATTGTTCATCCCAAAGACCTGTCTCCGAGGCTGAAAACAGAGCCATTGTAAAGGCTAGAACACTCTCGATAGATGGCAAAACCCAGGTGTCTTACAGAAGATACAGGGCCATCTATGCAGGCCTTGTTAAGAAACTCTACAATTAGATTAGGCTAGCCCGAGTGGGTTTGCCCTTGAAGTGTTGGAGGAGGATTTTTTTAGTTGAGTATGCATGTCCCTCCTTCCACAGCTCAGAAGACTATCAAGAGGGCCACTTACATGAATATGTGTGTCCCGGAAGTTGGACCACACCTGGTCCAGGCATGTGACACATGTCCGAGAAATGGAAAGGCCGGAGGACAGGTCAGGCTTGCAGAGCAGCCGGAGAGCAGAACACGCTGCCTCTGGAGGAGCACGCTGGAGGTCAAGGACGTGTCCATCTGTCTGGCTTCCCATTGGATGCACTCCAGAGAATTTGCCCAGAGTGCTGTTGAAACAAAGCTGCCTAGTTTAGGGGTGGGGAGCAAAGAGACCCCACCAAAGAGATCCATCAGCTCCCCAAGCCCGAAGAAAAGGATTTATAATAAGACAGGAGACGCTTGGCCTACTTCTAGCTGGCTGTAGTTGAAGGTTCTGAGGAGGGCAATCTCTGAGAAGTGACAAATGGAGCCCATGAGAGAAGCCATCCAGTTTCGAATGTCTTCCAAACCCGGAGGAGCTAACTCCTATGCCTTTCTCCCGGATCACCACGCCTCATCCTGCAGACCTGGCAAGGGCCAGTGAGTGGAGGAGGATAGAGCCAAGCAGGAAGGGCAGCAGCAGCTGACCAAGATCCTAACCCATCGGGGCAGGTGGAAAGCTTTCATTGCATCCATGCCGGAACTCCCATGAGATTCTACTTCGGACTGAAGGGGACCATGAAAGTGGCCAGACTTGCCTGTGCTGCCCAGCCAGGAAACAGAAGGAATTCGCCTTCAGGGTGCAACAGAAGGGAGGCGGCTTGATTAACAGAATGTTTCTTCGTGATGCCATCCTCCGGAGTGCAGCGTATTCCACGAACAGGTCTGCCCACAGTGGGCAAGGCTTCACACCTGCGCGCTTCCTGATCTGCACTGGATAGAGGCAGAAAGGAGGCTGAGTGAGGCCTAAGCACTTGCTCACGGTCAAACAGCTAGAGAATGTATTCAAGATTCATATCTTCTTTTTCCCCTCTTTGAGTTCCCAAGTTTAAGCTCTTCACTGCCTCTCTAAATTGCTCCTTGGAGAGCCCGCGGTCCCGGTCCGTGTCTAGTGGCCTTTTTACCTTTATGCTGCGTGCTTCTCGCAGAAAGTGAACCCAGCTGTTTGTTGTGTTCTGCTCTGGCTTGTGTATTGTGCAAACCTCGCTGCAGATGTGTTGGGGCTTTGGTTCCTGAATTATATCCACACATGTGCTGCCTAATCCTATCCCTATCTGTTTCACCTCCTGAATGCCTTCTTAACATTTGTTTCCTCTTCTTGTTTGTTTCTAGATTGCTGCTGAGTGGTTGTATTTTTACCTCCACAAGCATTTCTATTTAGCTGATTGAAGGCTTTCTTGCCCTTAAATACAACTGCTGGGCTAATGTGAGCATCATTTCTTTCTTTTTTAAAAAATTTTAAAATTTTAGTTTTAATCATTTTATTAGGGGCTCATAAAACTCTTATCACAATCCATACATACATTAATTTGTGCAAAGCACCTTTGGCCATTCATTGGCCTCATCATTCTCAAAACATTTGCTCTCCACCCAAGCCCCTGGCATCAGCTCCTCATTTTTTCCCCTCCCTCCCCGGTCCCCGCTCCCAAATGAACCCTTGATAATTTAGAAATTATTATTTTGTCATATCTTGCCCTGTCTGACATCTCCC